GTCCAATAGAGCCTGGTGGAACCACTGAGACTATGGCCCCTAGCTGCCCTTCAGATCTGGAATTGAACCCACACCTGTGGTTTCCAGCCAAACAAAAGATAGGCATATGAGTTGAACACTTACCTCAAGTAGATACACTCCTTGGAGAGAACAATCATGGAAGAAAGAAGGGCTGTTTTGCACAGGAAGACAACTCAGGGGACAGGAGTGCATGGAAGGATGGACACAGGGAAGAGGTAACTCTGGGGAGGAAGTGGGAGGGGAGCTGTTGCACTGTGGTAAACTGTGGTCAATCATGAGACAAAGTATATGCGAACTGCTGTATGGAAAGTGAATTTGCTCTGTAAACCTTCACCCAAATCACAATTTTATATATATATATATATTAGTGCTGTTGACTCCAACATAGCAATGTTCTCAATACTCACAGGCAGGGAAATTTTACAATAATTTACTCCAATCTCTAGCTTTCTTTTAGGAATTTTTTAGAATTGTAAATACATAAAAGATACCATTTGTCATTTTAACCATTTTTTAGTGTCTATTTTAGTGTCATTAATTACATTAAAAATATTGCACAACCATCACTATTTACTTCCAAAACTTTTTTTTAATCACCTCAAACACAAACTCTGTATCCATTAAGCAGTAGCTCCCTGTAACTTTTTTTAATATCATAACAATTGAATCTTCTGATCAGTTTGATAAGAATGACTAGAAGATCAAGTTATGAAAAGATAAGTATAAACTTCTTAGAATCAAATACTCATTTTTAAGAGTTTTTTTTTTTTCAATTTGCAAAGTTATATGGTAATCCTAACTATTTTTCTATACCATGTTTACCTCCTTTGAATCAAAATACCATGTAAATAAAATTTCCATCAATTTGAAATGCAGAAGACTCTGATAAGCATAGTGCCTAAGGCACTTGACTGCTCACCAGAAGGTTGGCGGTTGAAACCCACCAGCCACTCCTCAGAAGGAAGGTTGGGCAATCCTACTTCCGTAGTGATACTGCCTAGGAAACCCAAGGAGGGGTCGCTATGAGTCGGGGCCGACTCGACGGCAAACAACAACAACAACAACTGGTATAATTTTTTTCTTTACATCAAAAGAAATTGCTTATAAACATTTTGGTAAGTATATTTGCTTTTCAAGATGACATGTATCCTCCAAAGCTTATTTAAATACCATATACCTAAATAACTCAAATAGTATTTGCTGAAAGTTTCATGTACTAAATATACTAAAAATAATTACATTCTGTAAGAATTAGATAATACCTGATTTATTGAGAGTAATTCCCGTTGTATACAGAAAATTGTCCACTTTCAAAAATTGTTGTAGGACGGTAAGATAGCCTGTAACATTGCTTATATGATGGTTGTTGGGCAGTTTAATTAAAGCTTTTGAAAACTGAACACTTGGTTGAGATTTGGCATCTAGAAAAAGGAAAACTCAATAAATAAATAGACAAAGCAAATACACATTAAGTACAGCACCACTGATCAGGATATTTTGCTTTAAAAAAGCAGCTGGTGACATAGTGCCTAAGGCATTTGACTGCTAACCAGAAGGTTGGTGGTTCAAACCCACCAGCCACTTCTTGGAAGGAAGATGGGGTAATCTACTTCCATGAAGATACTGCCTTGGAAACCCAAGGAGGGGTTGCTATGAGTCAGGACTGACTCGATGGCAGTGAGTTTGATTTTTGATTTAATTATCTTGAAGCATCACCAACATTTCCTCATATAATTATTATTTGAAATTCATAACTGACTGCTATAAGAAATCACACATACACTTTTTTTTTTTAATCACACGCCTTTATATTTGATTCTGCTGCCCAGTATTTCTTCACCCTGGTTTAATGACCATTTAAGGAGAGTGAGGTAGTGATGAAACTCAACTTCATGGTTGGTAATGCTGAACTGGAAGACTTATAACTTAAGTCTTTATTCAAAATAAAGCTTTCTACATTATCCCCCTCAGGATATGCAAGTGGGACAAGTCAGGTCTGCCAGCAGACTTGAAACTACCCAGTTGTCAGGCCACCCCACACCCGCAACAAGATGAGTGCTGGAAGTCGGAATGAAGGCGATCTGCAAACTAGAGAGCCTCAAAGGTCTGAGGGACAGGTGTTCAATAATTTTCCCAATTTCGCCGAACACAAATGTTCCCAGAGGAAGGGTAAAAGACGTGACTTGGAATAAAACATAGAAGATGTCTTTCCATTATTTCCAAAAGTCAAATTCTTATTTTGGGGGCTAAAATTATAAATGAAAAAATTATCCTATTCAAGAAATTCATACTACAGTTTTATAGTGAAATAAGACTCACCCCTGATTAATCACCCCTGATTAAGTTTTTCCCAAGTTATAATCAACGTTGATTCATTAGTGAAATACAGTTACATCATAATCACTTCACATAATGTCAGACAGAGAAGTGTTGTACTTACCAGCTAATTTTCCAGTAATTAAAACAGTGTCTTCAAATAGCCATATATTTGCTTGGCTTTGTGGGAACAGTGAAAGTGTAACTGATGAATATACTGTGAAATAGAGCACAATTAGACATTTTATTAAATGCGGGGGAAAAAACTGGGATAAATATAGTTCTGTTCCAACAAGTCCTGGAAAGTGAGGAAAAAAGCAAAGTGATGGAAAGAGCGACTGCAACCGAAGGAGGAAGAGGTCGCACGGCATGGAGAGTGTGATCACTATCACTGGGCTGTAAGTGCACAAACCACAGTATTAGGGAGCGTTTCGGTGTGTATATTTTTGTCATAAGTAAAGTTTCTTTTTTAAGTATAATAAACAAAAGACCACTCACCCCCCAAGGCTCAATTTTCAGCCAAGCAATAGACAGGCCGACAAAGGGAACTACAGAGCCAGGGAGGCACTCACTTCCTAGAACAATCCACACGAGATCAAAAGAGCAGTGTCCGCCCAGAGATGAAGCTCAGAAGGCAGCAGGGGACAGGAAAGGAGGAGTGGAAACGGGAAACGCGGGAAGGAAGTGGGGAGTTTGTTACATTTCGGGGGCTGCAATAAATGTCATGAATCAAAATGTGTACAAATTGCTGAATGGGAAACCAATTTGCTCTGTAAACTTTCACTCAAATCACAATAAAAAGTTGAAAAAAAAGAGGAAGAAAATGTAAAATATGATGGAAGAGGAAAAAAGAGTCAAAATAAAGTGAGAAGAGGCCATTGAGTATCTATCTCTATTTTCTTTCACTCGTATTTTCAGTTGCTGTCTTTCCCATCAGGCTGTTGTTACTGTGCACCAGGAGCACCGCCACAGCTTCCTAGCCAGTGTCCCAAATCCCTTTTAGCCCTGGCTTCTGGCCTATTCCTTAACACACATCTGGGTGAATCCCATTTCCAAACAGCTTACACTCAGTGTGCTCAAGAGTCTACATAAAATGCCTTATTATTTAGCACATAAATCTAGAATGTTTGTCTAATATTTTCATAATACCATCATCTGGCCCCACTTAATCAGACCCACGCTGCTTTTACTTATGATTTTGGCATGCCAATCCCCACACTGCCACCTGCAGCCAAGCTTCCTGGCATAGCAAAGCCCTTTCTTGCTCAGAATTCCTTCAGTCATCTTTCTAATGAAAGGAAAAACACCTTTATATTTTCTTCAAATGGTCACTCTCTTCTAGCCTCTTTATATTGACTTCACATAAGCATTTTCATTATGCCAGAACAAGAGATTTCCAAAACAGGAGAAAAACTCTACATTTAGTAAAGGCAAAACTTTTCAGTGCTTACTTGGCATTCTTCCGGTCTTCCAAGGCAGTGGTGTCAACACATAGCCATCTTTGTACGCAATAATAGTTAAGCTGAGCCCTAGTTTATAGGGTACGTTTATCAACACTGCTCCATTTTTTTTAGTCACCGTGGAACTTGTCTTCGTGTAGTTTACAAACACTTCTACAACTGCTTGACTCAAGTACTGACGACTGATGATGTCATTGACTTGGACCTTCAGCCTAAATACAGATACTGGAAGGAAAAAAAAAAGAAGTCACAAATTACAGTATATTAGATCCTAGAATTCATATGCCACTACGTTTTAAAATGTCCTTCAAAATATCTGAATAACAACAAAATTGTTGTTAAGCTTATGAAATGCTTATGTAAATATGGATAGATAGATAAAGAGTCATAAAAACATTGCAATTAATTCATTATTCTTCTTAAAATGGAATAAATTTGAATGCCTATTATGAAAAAGCGGGAGCTCTGGTAGCATAGTGGCTAAGGCACTTGACTGCTAACCAGAAGACTGGTGGTTCAAACCCACCAGCCACTCCTCAGAAGGAAGATGGGGCAATCTACTTCCGTAGTGACACTGCCTCGGAAACCCAAGGAGGGGTCGCTATGAGTTGGGTCCGACTTGATGGCACATAACAACAACAACAACATTATGAAAAAGCACATATTACTCCCTTTTTCCCATGCCAAATAGAATAAGAAAAAAAGGAAAGCAGTGAATAACAAGAAGACAAGAAAGATTATTTCCTCAGGAAAAAAATATTTTTACTTCCTCTCACTAATTTGAGCACTATCAAGCCATACAGATTTAATATTAATTCCAAATATGTCAAAGTTATTAGAATAAAATACCATCTAAAGAAACCAATCAGCACATGGCTAGCTCTTTATTTTCTCTGTCTGGGGAGCAGGGAGTGTTTTCAACTCCAAATACAGAAATATCAAACAAAAATCTTTCTCTGAAATATCAAAAAAGTATTACCCGTTGAATAGATAAGAATACATATCAATACCCTGAGGGATAAGAACTCAAGTTTTCTTCTAGTCACACCTCCAAGCTGACTCCTCAAGTAGAGACCTGGCCAATGTGTTGATACTAAATCACCAGTATAGATTTCAACTTTGTAATGTTCTGGAAAAACTGCATTTACCAATGATAATTTCTGGCTGAAAAAAAGAACTTGTATCACAATGAAAATGACTTTGTAAAACATGTTATCACATCTTGGCCAAAGATGCTTTCTCTTCCACTGTGAATGGCTCTGCAGTCAGTCAAGGTCCATCTCTGGCATTCTAACATGTGATCTTGGGTAAGTTACCTCGCTAAGTTCATTTGCTCATCTATAGATAATACAATAGTAACTACTTTGAGGTCATAAAATGAAATAATGAAATTAATGTGATCAGTACAGTGTTTAGCTGTCACTTGATAAATGTGAGCTGACCATTATTACAAAGAGCAATTATTACTCCACAATGGAAGGGCACTGCACAAACACCAGTCTGTTGGTATGAAATACCCCAGAAGGACTGATTATGCTGCTGCACAGATGTTTATACAAACCCATTTTTACTCAGAATAATAATTATTTGTCAAGAGCAGTACATGAAATAAAAAATGGTCACATGTTGATTAACCACAATATTGCTGGAAACTGTTGTTATGCCTTGTCTTTTCTAACTTTGTTAAAATACACTGGACTTTAAATTGCTCTTGAACTATAACAAAGACTTTGTCAATACAATCAGAACCACTGTAATATAATAATCAATCACCAGGCCTAGGGAAGGTACAAGCCAGCAAGTTAGAAAAGAAAATAGCTCTGATCCTTTCATCAATTTAAAAATGAGGCTAAATGTTATTCAAATATTGGTTTCTGTATTATTAGCCGCAAACATATATTTTGCATATTTCCTGTTATAAATGACAATCTTTATAACAATAATAATAGCTAAAATGTGTTGAGGGTTAATGAGTCAGACATATGTTAATTTTTGAGTACACTGTTCCATTTATTCTTCAAAATAAACTTCATTAGAGAGATACTATTGTTTTCTTCATTTTTATACTGGTAACTGAGAATGAGAGTTTTGTAAATTAGCTATAGTCAACCCACAGTTATATTGACAGAGAGCTTCCAGAAATGCAAGCTGGATTCAGAAGAGGACGTGCAACAAAGCATATCATTGCTGATGTCAGATGGATCTTAGCTGAAAGCAAAGAATACCAGAAAGATGTTTACTTATGTTTTACTGGCTATGAAAAAATATTCAATTGTGTGGACCATAACACATTGTGGGTAACATTGAAAAGAATGAGAATTCCAGGACACTTGATTGTACTCATGAGGAACCTGTACATAGATCAGGAGGCTGTCATTCAAACAGAACAAGGGGATACTGCATGGTTCAAAACCAAGAAGGGAGTGCGTCAAGGTTCTATCCTTTCATCATACTTATTCAATTTGTATGCTCAGCAAATAATCTGAGAAGCTGGATTATATGAAGAAGAACGTGGTATCAGGATTGGAAGAAGACTCATTAACAACTGCAATACACAGATGACACAACTCTGCTTGCTGGGAGTGAGGATGACTTGAAGCACTTACTGATGAAGATTAAAGATTACAGTCTGCAGTATGGATTACACCTCAATATAAAGAAAACAAAAATCCTCACAACTGCTCCAATAAACAGCTTCATGGTTGAAGGTAAAAAAGACTGAAGTTGTTAAGGATTTCATATTACTTGGTTCTACAATCAACACCAATGGAAGCAGCAGTCAAGACATCAGATGACATACTGCATTGGGCAAATCTGTTGCAAAAGACCTCTTTCAAGTGATGAAGAGCAAAGATGTCTCCTTGAAGACTGGTTAGGTGTGCCTAACCCAAGCCATGGTATTTTCAATTGCTCTTATGCATGTGAGAGCTGGACAATGAATAAGGAAGACCAAAGAAGAGTTTATGTTTTTGAGTTGTAGTGTTGGACAAGAATGCTAAGAGTACCATGGCCTGCTAAAAGGACTAACAAATCTGTCCTGGAGGAAGCGCAGCCGAAATGCTTCTTGGAAGTGAGAAAGGCCAGACTTTGTGTCACCTACTTTGGTCATGTTGTCAGATGGAACCATTCCCTGGAGAAGGCTATCATGCTTGGTAAAGTGGAAGGTCAATGAGGAAGGGGAAGGCCCTCAATGAGATGGATTGACACAGTGGCTGCATTGATGGGGTCAGATATAGCAAGGATCATGAGGCTGGCACAAGACTGGGCAGTGTTTCATTCTGCTATGCACAGGGTCACTGTGAGTCAGAGATGACTCGATGGCACCTAGCAACAACAACAACAACCCACGGTAGACAGAAGAACACCAACTTGGGATTGTGTTTCCTCAAAACTTGTGCTCTTAAACCTTTGCAGCACAAGTGCTTAATTATACTCTAAAAGCACCTTTATTCCCAGTTTAGAGTGTGGTGTTGGGAAGAACTGATTGGGAAAAGAAGAGAGATGCTGTTGTTATGTGCTGTCGAGTTGGATCCGACTCATAGTGACCCCTCCTTGGGTTTCTGAGGCAGTATCACTACAGAAGTAGATTGCCCAACCTTCCTTCTGAGGAGTGAGAGAGAAAGAGAGGATTATATCCTGAACTAGTAAAAAGATGTAAAAAATAAAACAATTGCCACAGGTGTCACAGTAGAACTCTGTTCCACAGGGTTTTCAATGGCTGATTTTTCGGAAGATCACCAGGCCTTTCTTTTAAGGTGCCTTTTGGTGAACTTGAACCTCCAACTTTTTGGTTAACAGTCAAGCTTGTTAACCATTTGCACCAGCCATAGACTCTTATACCCTTGACTGTCATGCTTCAAAATGGGACCATTAGTCTTTCTGAAATACTGTTTATTTCTAGAATAGCAATCACATATATAGTCACATGTAAATACTGGAATAATTCTAATGAAACACGTAAATAAATGAAGCTCTGCTTCCTCAGCATTTTTAAAAATAGCTTTGTATGAACTCTAATTATTGGTCAGTAATCATTACTATCATTTTTAACATAAATTCAGAAGCATCAGTAACAGATCAACAAAGCCTTGGGCCTTGACTCTAACTGTTCTCAAATTATATTTTCAGTCATAATATAAATCTAGTGAACTACTATTACTTTACTCTAAGTAAAATGCCTGTGACAATTTAAAATTTTGAAAAAATGAAGGGCTAGAAATAAAATATGTTCCTGGTGCCAAGCTTTGCATGCATATTATCACAAAAATCTCAATATAACTTTGTAAAATATGTGATATCAATTCCATTTTTCCAATGAGGAAATGAGGGTTCAGAAAGATTGTTCAAGTCCTCCTTGAACCCTGTAAAAATGAGTTTTGAAAATTAATTCAAGGATTACATCATTCACCATCAATGATAACTTTAATTCTAATATAACATTAATTAAAAGAAAAAAAAGTCTGCCCAAACCACACACACATGTTCACACCAAACAATGTCCTCACATTCAAATGGAAATGATAAATCTTGAGTTAGAAAAAATAAAATAAAAAGTTGCAATATATAAAACTAAAAGTACTTGAATGTTATTGTTGTGCCGTTGAGTCGGATCCGACTCATAGCAATCCCTCCTTGGGTTTCCCAGGCAGTATCACTATGGAAGTATATTGCCCCATCTTCCTTCCGAGGAATGGCTGATGGATTTGAACCGCCAGCCTTCTGGTTAGCAGTCAAGTGCCTCAGGCACTACGCTACCAGAGCTCCCAAAAGTACGTAAATAGTACTCATAAAACAAAATACTTGAAGAGGTCCACTGAGTACAAAGGACAAGTAGCTACTGCGATTCAAAATAACTGCCCCAGCTGCAAGGCCCCAATTTCCTCATCAAAATGTATTGAACTACTGGCATAACACACCTGACTAATACAGCCAGGCAAATTCTATGAGGACCTTGAAGTGTGAATGAAGATACACAGAGGCGAAGGGCTGCTGGAGCTGAATCGTTTTACAGGAACGTCTAGAGCTCCCACCCACTCGTGCTGCCTACCTTCCTGGCCCCTCCCCTCCTGCTGATCTGTGAGATACATTATCCTTCTTACAAATTCTCTTTATTGCTTGTAGACAGAGTCAGTTTCTATTGCTTGTTTCCAAAGAACCTTAAATGACAAAAGTTAACAGGTGTAGATATCAAAATTTTAATAAGCTATTCTAACTTTTATAAGAGA